TGATTTGAACTGTTGATCCTACCCATTATCCAGCTGCAGGTTGGACAAAATTGTTAATGACTTGAGAATATTTTGTTGAAGTATGGCATCTGTGCATAAGTATGTGTCAAGTCTGAAAAGGTTTCAAAACTCAAAATATTCCAATATTCTGTTACTTAAGTATGCTGTTCAAATTTTATTTTGAAGTGTTAATATTTCAATAAAGTTGTTTTTAAAACTTCATAAGGTTAAGGTGTTTGCTAGCTAGTGAGGGAAATTGCAAAACGCAGAGTCAGAAGACAGTGGCTACTTCCCTGTTCCCCAAAAGAACTCTTTGTACAGCCAAATGTAGTACAAACCAGTGGTTTGTGTGTGTTCAAAAGGATTGTTTTATCAACTTCTGCACATGTTAAAATGCGGTGGAACTTGGATTAGTCTTGATAGAAAATAAGAGTCACCAGTTCTTGTTTGTGGAGATGAAAAGGGCAAGTGTATCTATATGAAGTCTATTCAGTGTTAGTGAAAACTTCCACTGGTTTTCTTGCATTAAACAAAAACAAAATAGTGGAAAGAACTAGTGATTTCTTTGTTTGTTTGTTTGTTTGCTTTTTCTTGCCACATTTGAGGCTGGGAGTTGAGGCAATTGATTTGTTGAGCAGCAAACTTTACTGTTAACCTTGAAAATAATTTGCACTTTCTTAGAAAAGCTAAACCATTTGAAAAAAATTACCTTGGCACAAAAAGCTGTCCTGGAAAAGTAGACATAAAATTGGAAAGCTTTGAGAGACAAATCGCAGCAACAGAAAAAGTCTTGTGGCGTTGGCTATCTGTAAGAATTATTACTCAGTCATATGGTCATGTTTGAGCAATAGTTAGTATTTATAATCTTTGGTCCTGAAACTGTACCTATCCAGTGGACTCTCGTCCGGTCTGTAGTAATGGTCCATGCGGATCCCTTTACATTTCTAATCTTCACACCCCCTCAGATATTGAGCTAATCAAGAAACTACCTGTCTTTTTTGGTTAGCAGAAATATTAGTAAATCCTTCTTAAACAGCATTAGAATTAGTCAACATGTTTCTTAGATAAATGTGTGGACTGACGGGTTACTTTTACAATTTCAGTATTTTTATGTGATGTGGCTTTGAAACAGGCTTAGTAAAAAAAATTAAGAAAGGTGTTTTCAGTTTATTTCAGGGCACATGAAACTTGCAAAAGAGGCAATGAAGTCTTTTAGTCCTCAGTGAAACTGGCTGTATAAACAAGATGCTTTTTTTGCCTGGCTTTCTCTCAAGTCCCATAATGATTCTTGGGAAACCGTTCATTTAGATGGGAGAATAGAGGTGTCTTAATTGCAGTTTATGCATACCTGGGATGGCCAGTCTTTTCCATTATGCCAGAGAAGCTGGCTGTTCTTAAGAACTGGTTTAACCTCCCAGATTGCTTGCTTCACATTCATATAGAAGTACTTGAACTGGTTTGTCTGTGTTTTAAGTAGAGTAGATAAGGCTTTCTGCAAGTCTGAGAACCTGTTCAGCCTAAACTGAATGTTTGCTAGGATGGATGTAGGATGAGATGAAACTGCTCCTCCCTCTGCCAACTCATGATTTTAATGAATGAGAATATCCCTCAAGCCTTTTACCGTCCATGTCTGCGATTCTTATTCAGGTATCTTAAGCTGGAGCATACTGCTTACCTGTGAATATGTTTTGTTTTATTCTTTAGTATTTCACCAACACCCCCATTTTTGGTGTTATGCTCTAGCTTGGGGTATAATTCTCAGTTTTGTTACCTCTTTGACAGCATTCTCAAATGGGTTCCTGAATCATTTTTCTTCATAATTTGAAACAGCTGGCAGAGCTTTTGCTTCCTACCACTTTAGCAGGTGACTGTGATGTTATTTTCAGGCAGCCAGGGTAGTGGCAACTTGAGTGAAACTGAGCGAAGAACTGGAGCTCAAGTACTGACATCTCAAAGTTGATATTTATACTTTAGCAGTGTTTGCAGCCTACTGTAATTGCAGAACTCTACCAAAAATCTCCCAGAAGCCTCTTTTGAGACTATTCTAGGTACTGTGGTATAGTTATCCAAGCTGCACTGCAGCCGAAGTAGTTTAGAAAAAAAAGGCTGGGAGGTAAACCTGTGATGATACTAAAATTGTTTCAGCATATCTAATACAGATTCACAACATCTTTTCTGTTTAAAACTTATGACTGGTCCACGTATGAACACAGGGATTTTTTTTTTCCTTTCTTTATGTGTAGTGTCAGGAGTGCTTTTAGCTCAGATACATACATCACTGACTCATTTCTTAAAACATGGAGAGCTGTCAAATGTGCATGTGGCAGTTACACTTTAATATGTCTATATCTGAAATCAGTGTGACGGCTATAGGCTTTTGCTATGTAATCTGAGAAATTTTCTTTTTTAACGTAGAACTAAGATGTGATGCTGAAAAGATTGCTTAGTGTTGGTATGTAAACAGCAGCATTCCTCAAAGAGGTCACTGCTGTCTGGTTATAAGTGGCAGATTACTGTGAAGATGTCATGAACTTTCTTTCCTTCATTATGATAAATATCTCTTGTTTTGCAATGTGCTGCGTCCACCAAGCTGCATCTTGCCTGCTTTCTTTCTCTTCCAACCCTCAAGGCCAAATATAGTGTCTGTGGTAGACATGTTAAAACTTTTATGATAAGTGAGAATTTTGTAAACACACTACAACGCCCCTGTTTCAGCACCCTCCATTTTAAAAGCACTCCAGCTGCTTATGTGGTATCAATCCTTTGAGCTTTCTCCTTTTCGGCTGAAAAATTTTCTCAGTACAGTGTATCTTGCTCTTCTGTGTGGTGGCCTATCCCCAACTGGAAGGATTTGCCTGCGTTAGTTTGAGATATAGAGACCATGTGAGCAAGTGCTGAAACAGATTTTGATTCCTCAAGAAGGCTGCTTGTAAATGCTTTGTAGGCACCCTTTTCAGAGGGGATCAAATCTGCTGGAATTTACTAGGAAGGCTGTTTTCTCCTACTGTCCAGTTACCTCCTTTTTAGACTATGCTATTCTTGATCTTTGTGCATCTATGGTTTTAAGTACTCTTCTTGTTTTGTCGTAGGTGCAAAGATTGTAGGAGACTTGCTAAGCCTGTTTATACTCTTTCTTCTTTCAATCCTTGATCATTGACCACAAAGTTGTAGGGTTTCATTTTCTTCTGATGATATCATCGCATCAGCATTTCTTACCTCTTGAAGAAAACATCGGATTTCAGGAGTGGTTGATGGTGCTGGTGATGACAGCAGGTCAAGAAGATACTTCTGTTTGAATATGTTGCTGTTCAGACAGAGGGGAAAAAGCACGGAGCTTGCCAGCAGTTGTGGAGCATGGGTCGAGGTATCTGGCACATCACAGCTCCTATATCTGCTGTGACAGACCGGTAGGTTGTACAACCTTTTTTATTTTCAATAAACTCTCACTAAGATCGTAAAGAATTTGTTGCTCCACCCTTTTAGGGGTAGTTGTCTAAGAGAGTGATATTCTGAGCGTATCGTTCACAATGTTTGAAGGAGCTGGGGTGTCTAGCACCATTATTAGGTTATAGGTATTTTTTTGACCTATTGCTGGTAGGTCAAGCAGAGGCAGAAGAACTTCTCTTAGAGATTGTATTGTAGAGCAAGTGATGTAAGGCTGATAATATATGAATATAATAATTAAAGATAATAAGGTACAGTTTGTATGTATTCCTTCCTCCCCCACCTTCTTTTAAGTCAACAACAGGAAGGAAGGCTGAACACAGAATTTGGAGGTGCAGACATTATTCTTCAAGTGTGCATTTTGACACAGTGTTAGTTTTTCATTCTCTGGGGCCTTGTCCCAAATTCTGCCTTTTTTCAATTTACCCCTTTCTGAAGAGCTGCTCTATAGCAGCGGTACATTTGTAACAATTGCTATTTCTCTGAAGAAAAAAACATTTAGATGTGATTCAGTATGTGCTCAAGCTCCCAGTTCTGCCAACTCAATTTTTTTGGGGGGGGGGGGCATTGCGAGATGTTGCTTGGAGAAGAAACAGATTTTGCTGCTGAGAACTGTGAATCTTAAACAGTATAAAGGAAACAACTTTTCTGTTAGCTTGTTAATCTCAAGGTGGGAGGCGAGGAGAGAAACCTGTTTCTATCTTCTTTTTGAAATATTTAAACAGTTATTTCAAAGAGATGAAATCGATTTGCGAGTTTTGCACAATTATCTTTGTCTTTCTTATTGTGAGATGATTTTGAGGCTCTTGAACTGGAAGATAATACTCTGACATTCTATTCTTCCTGAACCATCATAAGTCTTTGCTGCAATCTGTTTGACTTCTGTAGAGCAATTGCAGACCTTTAAGTTGTGGAGCAGGGGAGGGAGAAGAAGAGGGGCCCAAGAGTCAGTTGCTCTTGCTGCTATCTGCTTTCTTGGCTGAGCTGAAGACTCTTGAGTACTTTGATAGTTTAGAAAGATTTAACTAACTTCAGTTTGCCTCCAGCTTCAGAGCGTAAGTCCAGGATTGCTTACTAATTTAATTTGCAAGTCCTAGTCATTAATTAAAAAAAAAAAAAACAACAAAGTTATTGGCCACATAGCAACTAACACTAGCACAAGGTTAAGGTAGGAATGTATGGCTGGAAGTGAAGGGAAGAGGGTATTAGTGTCCTTCTTGTGGCTTTTGTTGCCAACAGCCTGGCAGGTCCTGCCACACAGGAAAGGGAAAGGGATTAACGCCTTCCCCAACCTACTGGTAGTGGTTTCCTGCCCTGCAGAGCATGCATGTGGCATTTTCCTGGCTGCCTTACTTTGTCATACGTGACTTAGTCATTCCTATGAGTTACTTAATACTTCTCGTGTGGGGCAATGAACAAGAGACAGCATGGAAAGGAGGAGGAAGGTTTTGGTGGAGGGAAAAGCTCTCTAAGGTTAAAGGTGGGGGGAGTCCAGCCAGCACTGCACTCCTGCATGTGGCAGGCAAAAGCTTCTGAATGAATACAAAGCTGGAGTTGTGTTTCAGTGGAGTAGCTGGGGCCACAAAGGGATGACAGCTTTTCAAAGGGGGCACACAGGAAATGGTTTTGGAGTGGTGCATGTAGTGGAGCAAGTACTGCACAAAAAGATGCATTGTAAATCTGATGATAATGTACTTCAGCCCTAGAATTTGTAGGGCTCTTTCATGCCATTTAGCTGCAAGCTTCTTTGCAAGTGTACACTACGCTGTCCTCTGTGGAAGTCCTATCTACTGTTTGGAGCTAAATCTCTCAGGGTAGCTAACTTTAGACACTTAAGCTAAACAAGAAGTGGGTATTGACACCCCATGTGATGTATGTTTTGAGGACATAAGATCTGGGAAATGAGCATCCGTATTTTATTCATTGCAGAGTTGCAAAGTATTAAATGGGTTACAGCCTTTCCTATGTTCCTGGATTACATAAGATTTTGAGTGAACTTGTTTGCCATAGCAGCAAGGTATCCATAGTTTTACTTCAGAATAAGAATAAGTAGAAATAAGTTTGTGTTTAACTGCAACAGAGATCATGGTTGTATCATCAATTCTACTGCCCCTTTGGTGGTTAGGGAAAAAAAACAACAGGACTTGATCACTCCGGCATGGTTTAGCTGATTTTATTTTAGGGACAATGCCAAAAGATGGCAGCCTGTCCCATGGTGGCTCCTGCCTTTCTTAAGGAATCGTGGAATTTGGTCAGCCTCTGAAAAATCTTGTTCTGCATAACTACACAGTCTCCACGAAATTCGGGAAAATGTTTGCTGAAATACAAAACCTGGAAATGGAGAAGACTTGAACTGCAAGATATGCTGAATTTAATGGTGTGCTATACATCCGTGTCACCAGTTCTAGAATCTGCTAAGTCTCAAATTTTTTAGCTTGATGAAAACTTACTGCCAGCTCTCTCCAAATCCTGTTTTCTAGCTGCTAAGTCTTTCTTACTTTTGTGATGCTGTGAACGTCTGTGTTTCCACACTGATCAGAAAGTTTGTGCAGATGATATTTGAGTAGAACTTAGTGCTCTTGGATTCATCTTCCATGCCTTTTGGGGAGAGTTCTCTCTTCCACCTGTCAATAGAGACAGTATTTTTCATCTAAATTATAGCTGCAAGAGGGTGGAGTTGCGGGCTTTAAATAGTTATTCTTCTTTTGCTGTATTTTGCAAGGGGAAAGCTTTCATCTATGTTCACCTTTTTTTTTTTGTTTAATATTAGAAATATGTATAAATTTGGACACTAGTATACAAAGTTTTTCTGGCTAACTACTAGTCAAGAAGTTGATGGACTTTGCTTGCCTTTATGCCATCAAATAGAAGCTATGCTTTGCTGCCTGTCCTTTATCTTAGTATGGATCAATTTGGGCACATTTGCCTGGTGTTATTCAGGTTTCTAGTAGCCTAGCAGTCTTCATTCAGGATAAAAAGAATTTCTCTCTTTTGTTCATTGAGCACTGTTCTGCTATTTGTGTTTAACACCTACTTTTAGAGAGCAGTTCCATTATCCTTCTTTGGTGAAACTTCATGCATCCCAGTTCTATGGGTTGCATTATCATTTAGGCTTCTGTGAGTCAAAGAGTGCTGAAGACAGAAGATACACTAAACATAGGAAGTGTAGGGTGACATGACTTTAATTATGTTTTTTTGTCAGCTCTGGGTAGTAGAGATAGAAATTTTTGCACTCAGATCAGCAGAGGAAGCCAGCGGTTCACCTTCTCTAAACCCTGACATTGGTGTTTTCTTCCATGAGAAGATGTTTCTAGTCTTAAAAGGCACTTTTTGGGGTTTCTACAGTTTATTCATGCTTGATGGAGTGTAAATATGTTTGGCAGTTTTGCACTTAATAGCTTGTGTTTTGAGAAAAGAAGAGAAAGCATCAATGGTAAATATTACTTTTAAATTAAATTAAATTTAAATTACTTTTAAATAAAACATGATTAAGTGGATGAAAGAACTGTTGGTTTACGGTGGTTTGTTAGGCCTTCCTATTATGTATCATATTTTCACTTTATCTTCATCACAAATGCTGTGTAGAATTTTTTTTTACCAGCTGGCTCATCTGGCTTTCAACTGAAAACAGGAATACATTCATTTTCTCCCCAGGAGTTGGTAGATTAGCCTGTCTTCTTACGGATGTTTCTGAAATGGTTAAACCAAGCACCATTCAGACTTGAGGCTCTGCTCATTGTATCTTAATAATGTGTCATACTTGAACACTTCGGTTAGCAGCAGTTTCGTGGCAGTGTCAAGATAGTGCAGTAATAACTGGTTTATGCTGTCATGGCTCTCTCATCTCACAGTCCTTTAGTAAGTAAGCTTTAGTCAAGGTATCTCTTCTACTTTCTGCACTGTGTTTCTGCAAAGGAAATATTTAATCTTTGGAAGACTTAAACTATGAATGAAATATTTTGATTGAGATCTTTCATGGCTTTGACCTGTTCAGGTATTTGGGGTTGAACACAGTATATATAAAATGAGAAGGAAATTAATAAAAATAACATTCAATTCCTTCTCCCTGAAAGAATCCCCACCCTGGCCAGTAATGTACAGACCTTGCCATTTCATTGTTTGGCTAATTGAGTGCCTAACATTACAGCTGGATTGCAAAGTAACTCTTGAGATTTTAATAAGGAAAGTCTGACAACCTAAAAATCAGTGAAAACATCTAGAAATTCAGATCCTGGGATAAAACTGTTGGTTGTTAAAGAGCCTGGATCCTCTTTGTTTCATGCAGTCTGCTGCCATCTTGGAAAGTATGAAAAAACAGTTTATGGCATGACTATCCAAGCAGAAGATAGCAGTGCTACCAACTGGGAGGAGAAAAATGGGTGAAGAAGCCTTAAAGTTGTCCAGAAGCACAGGATTTGGTTATAGGATAGGAATCCAGTTCTCATTACAACAGGTCTGGCTCAATACAAGAATTTGACATCTGAGGAAGAACAACATTGTGTATCACATAATTAGCTTACCATCCTGAAAAAAAATTAATGGTCTGGTTTCCTCCAGGCATTGAAGCTGAGTGAAATTTGTTTTAGTGGGATTCTTGCAGATCTTGTAGGTAATATTGGGCAAATGTATGAGGACAGAAGTATCCAAACCTCCTTAATCTTCTCTGACAGTTTGCTCTTTGAAGTGTTCTTGCTGATCATTTAGTAGTGCTTCGCATCCAACCCAGTGAGGCTGGTTCCTTTCTTGTTCTTACTCCTTTTAGCCACCTCTCCCTGTCTTAGCTGTGTGATCTATTTCTTCTGTGGCGATACAGTATTGTTCTAGGCTCTACATGGCAGCTAGTTGTAGGCTTGCATAGTCAGTTTCAGAAATGTAGGGAGATAACGGGTAAATAATTCTAAAGGATCATTTATAGATCGGGGAGTACTTCACTCTGATAAATAACTAATTGGAAACTGGGCATTACCTTTTGTTATGTTTGTGCATAAGGTAACCAGTGACACAGCAGTTTATCTGCTAAGAACCTTTAATAAAGATTTCAGGTATTATTACAAAAGAATACGTGAAAGGTCTATTATGCAACTGCACCAGCAATAAAAACCAAGCTATGTATATAATCGCTGTGCAAAGAGAAGGTCTTTCATTAACTCTTAGTGTTTAGAAGGGAAAGGTGTTGGAGAGCTTTTTTTGTCTGGGGGGGGAAAGGGGTTAGTTTGGTTTTGTTTGGGGTTGGTTGGTTGGTTTGTTTTCCTCCAGCTTCATGGGATGCTAGATTCCCCACAACTTTTATCCTGGTCTTCAGCTACTGTCTTTGAGAACTGAGTGTTTGTCAAGTTCTCTGACCTTCATATGAAGGGTATTTCTCATGAAATACATTTCTGCCTCCTATCCCAAGTAGCTAACAACTCCTCACTAGTCATATACAGAATCCAGAACTATAACTCCGATTTTATAAGGTTCTGACTTCCTGCAGCAATTATTCAGTCCCCAGCCTCCTTTGCATTGAAGCATTCACCTGCTACTCCTTTTTTTAAGGTTTGTATAAAAATTGGCAGCTCATGTTCATGGCTGGGTGGGGGCTGGATTAGTATTTTACAAAATTAAATAAAAGAACCCTTTTCTCTCATTACATGACAGTTGATGGAAGGTGTGAAGGCCTACTAGGGCTAGTGATTGAACCAAGTGATTGGTGTTTTTTTCCCTTTTTTCCCCAGAGTCTTGTCTGATAGAATCATAGAATGGTTTAGGTTGAAAGAGACCTTTAAAGGTCACCTAGTCCAATCCCCCTGCAATGAGCAGGGACATCTTCAACTAGATCAAGTTGCTCAGAGGCCTGTCCAACCTGACCTTGAATGTTTCCAGGGATGGGACATGTACCGCTTCTCTGGGCAACCTGTTCCAGGTTTCACCACCATCATTGTAAAAAATTTCTTCCTCTTATCTAGTCTGGATATACCCTCTTTTAGTTTAAAACCATTAAACCTTGTCCTGTTGCTACAGGCCCTACTAAAACGTCTGTCCCCATCTTTCTTATAAGCCTGCTTTAAGTACTGAAAGGCCGCAATAATGTCTCTGCGGAGCCCTCTCTTCCCCAGGCTGAACAACCCCAGCTCTCTCAGCCTTTCCTCATAGCAGAAGTGTTCCATCCCTCTGATCAGTTTTGTGGCCCTCCTCTGGACCCGCTCCAACAGGTCCATGTCCTTCCCGTGCTGACGACCCCAGAGCTGGATGCAGCACTCCACGTGGGGTCTCACCAGAGCGGAGTAGAGGGGCAGGATCACCTCCCTCGACCTGCTGGCCACACTTCTTTGGATGCAGCCCAGGATATGGTTGGCCTTCCGGGCTGTGACTTCATCCACCAGCCTGTATTGATACCAAAGGTTGCCCTGACCCAGGTGCAGGACCTTGCACTTGGCCTTGTTGAATCTCATGAGGTTCACATGGGCCCAATTCTTGAGCATTTCCAGGTGTCTCTGAATGGCATCCTGTCCCTCAGGCGTGATGTCAAGGCTCCATATAGTGGTACAAGAAGTGGAAAAAAAAATCATAACAGGGAACGGGAAGTAATTTACAGCTTTGGGGAACTAACGATGGGGACAGTATTGCAAACACTTAAGAAGTAGGAGCAGTTCCAGCAGGATGAGAGAGAAGTCTTCAAGGAGGAAACACATCACAATGCACAGTAAAAGCAGTGTTTTAACAGCTGTTATTGAATAGCTGTTTAGAGGCGCACACAAAAAAATATTTGCTTCTTTGTCTCCACAGATGGACTCTGCTTCTGCATTGCCACATTCTTATGTTTCTTTTCCCTTCTGGAAAATGAACTCTACTGTTTCTTAGAATGGTTTAGCATTTTGTAGAACTGTCTGAGAATGATATAGGAGTTTAACTTTGACATAAATTTGTAAAGCTGTTTTATGTAGGTTTTTTTGAAGAAAATTTGTTACTTTCATATCTCTGAAGGATATGAAAAGGATATAGTTCCTTTGTTTTAAGAGCTGAATAAATGTTTTGTAGCATAAATTTGACACCTTAATTGACGCCACAGTATGCTGTGTATTCCTTTCCTATGCAAGCAAAGACATTTATTACAAAATTTAAATGTATGTGAAGAAACAAGTCATATAATTAGTTTTAGTCTTTTTTTCTGTTCTTTGTCATCTCACTATGAAAAGCATTATTGTCCTCAGTGGCAACCTTGCATGTGTGACTGTGGGGAAAAAAGAGTTCATACTGGTTACCTGAGCCTTAATGACAATTTTGACCTTTTCTTGTGTATAAAGTATTGGGGAAGTATGATGATAAAAGTAGTTACAGAACAGCAGAGAATATGCATCTTGTTTTTCTGTGTCATGGAAATAGGCTTAGCAACCTTTCTTCTTCCATCAGTGCGTATGCTATGTAGCCTTTTATTTAGTTAAGGAGGTGTTTCATATATCAAGATACAAAATGAACTTTTAAAAGTCTGATTAGTTTGCAGTCTGTTTGAAGACCTCCTTAATATTGGTATTGTTTATTTGAAAAGAGCATTTTACTTTGTCTGTTTTTGAAAAATCATAATAGTAGTAGTTCTTAAGTGATTTTTTTGATTTGGTGATTGTGCAGCAAAGTGATTTAAATTTTCATTATTTAAAAGTATAATATTCAAAATTAGAAACAAATTTTCATTGTCTATGCATGAGAAATTTATCCTTATAGCATCTTGAGCTTCTTCAAGCATAAGCACCCATTATGTCATTGCAGCTTTTTTTGCTAGAAAGTATTATTTCCTGTTTAATGTGTTGCTGAGTTTGTGGATTCAGGCTCAGAATTGTCTCCGTATTCCTTCAACAGCATTGCCACAATTAAGAGACTGTAGGTAAATTCAATTTTCTGGTGAAATAGCAATTTGATATTATATTCTGTTATGTGGTGGTTTTCATGTGTGGGGTGTTTTTTCCTACCCAGCCACCCTGATTTTCACTTAGTGTCTTGGCAATCTCTGATGGCTTCTTGATTCTCTGGAGAAGAAGTGAGGAGCTGTGTTTTCTGGATAGCTCAGACCAAGCTATAGGAAAATCTACTGAATCTGAAGTGTAGAAATTACTTTTATCTGGTTTGTATGCCACATAGTAATTTGTTCTTGCACTCTTGGAACATGGACATCATTCATGACTCTTCATCGGTCACTGTTGAACTTGCTCAGCAAATGTGCTCTGAGAGCTCATTTTTTTGGCTTTTCATGGACATCATTGCTGGGTTTTTTCCTAATCGAGTGCTAGGTTTTTTTCTTCTAGAGTAAAGGAAAGAAAGGAACATTCACCTAGGTGCTTGTTCTCCAAATTTTTAAATGGCATTGCTAGAGAGCTTATGTGACATTCCAAAAGTATTATGAGAATCTGGATATGGTGCTCTTGATTTTTTGGGAGCGTTCTCCTCAAAAAAGGACCTTCAAAATTTCCCACTATTATATGAATTGTCTTTTATTGTAAGATACATATCTAGAGGACATTTATTGGCAAATGGCTTGGACCAACATTAGTGTTTCAAATGCCACTAAAGCATGAAAGGTTGTCTAACATTTATGTAGCCTGAAGCTGCAAGCTCTCTTGTAGGCTTTCTTATTCCTGGTGCCTATGAGTAGTGCTTCCTACAAATAAGCCCAGGCTTCTCCTAGGAGGAGGGTAAGAGCAGCGAGCATTAGGCAGATACCCTACAAATGGCATGTCATCAAAACTATTTTCACAAAACTCATCTGCATCCTTTAAAAAAAAATATTCATTTAAAGTAAATGATCAAATAACTTAGACCAGTTGAAAAGACTGTGCAGAAGTGTAAAGGCTCTTTTCCACACCAAGGGAGGAAGGGAGAAAAGAGCTTTGCCTTGTGTGTTTGTACATTTGCTGATATGGTAGGGGGAGGGTTTCAGATAGCCTGTATGCTATATGCATGAAAATGGAGTTGATGAATAGAAGCCATACAGAAATTATGTGTATTGATGAATGATTTTTTTGTTAAGAGATTATTCTTGCTCCTGCATAATCTAGAATATTACACAGCATCCTCAGAACATTAACCTTAGTTTGATCTCAGTGTGTTCAGTGTGCAGTCTGTGGAGGGGAATTTGTTACACACTGACTCATCTTTAGTCATAAGTAATTCTTTCATCAAACACCTCAGTCCTATGGTCCTTGCATTCCCCTTCAGAATAGCAGCATTTCCTAATCTTAGCTTCCATTTGAAGACCAAAGGCTTGCCATTGTATAGACCTTACTGTCTGTCACTGTGTTAATAAAACACCCTGAAATATTCAGAATACTAGTTGCGCATAGACCTGTTAGGGTTTTGCAGACTTGTGCTCTCCTCTTCCATCTGATAGTAGAGAACAGTTAAGTTTGGAGTATCTATGTACCTCTATATTTGATCTTCTGGTTATGAGGAGCTTGGGAGAGTTTTGTGTGATCAGTGTTACTTCTAAAAGTTGAGTTTCTTATGTACGTTCATTGAGAGAGTGTACTTCAGAAGAAGAGAGAGGCTTCAGAGAATGTACACTTCAGAAGTACTTGAATGAGAGAACAGAAGGCCCAGTGACTTTCCAAATTAGAAAATGCTGTGGAAAATTTGCCTTTGGGAGAATGTACTGCTGTTATTTGTAGCAAAGTTTACAAGTTTGTGAAAACAAAGATGCTAAGCCCTGTCAGTAGTTCATTTCCTTGATTCCTATTAAATCTAAAGCTTCTTAATTCCTAACACATACCCTAAACATGTGGAGTTTACTCTGTTCTATTTGCTATTTGGTAGCATTTTTTTTTTACTTTAGAAAATCCCTTGATACTGAAGTAAAAGAAGATAATCTTTTCCTTTCTCCCACAGATCCAGACGTTTAATGTTGAGGCACCATGCCAGACTGTGGAAGATTTAACGAATGGGGTTGTGATGGCCCAGGTTCTTCAAAAAATGTAAGAAATTGTTTATGTAATGAATTAAATACACAGTTTTATTATCTATACATTTTTCTCTATTTAAGTGTATTTTAGTTCAAACTTGGCTGGTATTCCATAAGAATGTGGCCTTTCCTGTGCTTAGACAGTACTTTAATCTGGAACATGACTAATGTCTTTTCCTCTGTAGTTTTCAGATAACTATCTTAAATTCCAAAAAAAAAAAAAAAAGTTTTGTTTAGGGAGGTATTTATTCAAATGTGAGCTTACTGGAAAGTAAGTTGGATTAAAACTAAGCTTACAAATGAAAACTTTTTTAAAAAAAATTGAACCAGTGCAAGGTAAGGTATTGGCCCTGATCATTGTTTGAAACTACAGTCAGTATATCAGTAATGTTAGAATTAATTTCATGCAATAAAACTTCTGTAATAAACTGAATGGAACTGTCTGTTTAGTTGTTTGCAGAGATACTGTATTCTTGAAAGTAAGTGAAGGAATAATAGCTGTTACGCTAGATAATGTTTTTGTTCTTTTGAACTTTAAGATCAAATAGAATAAAATGCATTAGTTCAACATCTCAGTGTAGTCTAAGGATGTTTCTGGGGACTACAGATACGCACTTGAAATGTAGCTATATGCAGAATTACCTGTTTTCACAGAAACACAACTTTTTATTGTTCATTAGAAACTTAAGCAACATTTATCAAAGTCAGCAGTCCAAATTGAGCATGCCAGTTCCTACAGACCTATTTTTTTTTAAAAAGGTATGCTTTATTCCTTTCAACATGAAGAGGGTGCTGTCTTGAGTATAAATGCAGAATAAAATGTTTTCTGTGTAATTTGTTAAAAATGAAGACTGGACAGGTACAGAATAGAATCACAGAATCGTTTAGGTTGGAAAAGACCTTTAAGATCATGAAATCTAACCATTAACTAGCACTGCCAAGTCCCTACGTACCACGTCTACACATCTTTTAAATACCTCCAGAGATGGGGACTCAACCACTTCCCTGGGCAGCCTGTTACAGTGCCTGAAAACTCTTTCAGTGAAGAAATTTTTCCTAATATCCAATGTAAACCTCCCCTGGTGCAACTTGAGGCCATTTCCTCTAGTCCTATCGCTTGTGACTTGGGAGAAGAGACTGACCCCCACCTCGCTACAACCTCTTTTCAGGTAGTTGTAGAGAGTGATAAGGATATGAATAGATATGAACAGCTTTCTGTTAGAATTCTTCTGATTTGCATCAAAGAATCGTAGAATAGAAGGAATGAGAATGAATAGAAGGAATGAGAATAGAAGAATCGTAGAAGGGAAGGCACCTCTGGAGTGTTTAATCCAACTCACCTGCTCAAAGCAGAGTCTGCTAGAGTAAGTTCCCCCAGGATTGTGTCCAGTCAGATTTTGAGTATGTGGAAGGATTGAGACTCCACAGCCCCTCTGGGCTACCTGTTCCAATATTCAATTGCCCTCAGTTTTTTTTTAAAGAAAAAAAAAGCAGGGATCATTTTTTTCTAAATGTTCAGATGGAAGTACTTGTCTTTCAGTTTGTGCCCACTGCCTCTTGTCTGTTCACTGGACACCACAGAGAAGATTATGTGAGGGTATAAAGAAGAAGCCATCTGGTATTTATAAACAGGATTGATAAGATCCTACTGAGCCTTCTCTTCTTGAGGCTAAACAGACACGGCTCGCTCAGTCTCACCTCGTATGACAGATGCTCCAATTTGTTAATCATCTTAATTGCCCTTTGCTGAGCTTCCTTGTATGTTCAGGTCTCTCATACTGGGGAGCCCAGGACACAGCACTTAAAATGTGGTCACACAAGAGTTGAGTAGTACCTCCCTTGGCCCACTGGCAATGCTCTTTCCAATGCAGCCTAGGATGTGGTTGGCCATCTTTGCTACAAAGACACGTTGCTGGAATGTGTTCAGCTTGGTTTCTGCCAAGCTGCTTCTCTGCAAAGCAGCTTTCCAGCCAGTTGGCCCCCAGCATATACTGGTGCCTAGGGTTTGCACTTACCTTTGCTGAAATTCATAAGGCTCCTGTCAGCCCATTTCTCCAGCCTGTCAAGTTCCTTCCAGATGGCAGCACAACTATCAAGTGTATCAAACACTCCTTCCAGTTTTGCATTATCTGAAAACTTGCAGTCTGTTCCATCATTTAGGTCACTATTAAAGACCTTCAATAGAATTGACCCCTTGGGAATGCTGCTAGTGGGTTGGCCTCCAGCTGGACTTCATGCTGCTGCTCATAACCCTTTGAGCCTGGCAGTTCAGCCATTTTTCAACCCACCTCACTATCTACTTACACAGGCCATGTTTCATCAGTTTGTCCATGACAATGTTATCCTCATCAGGCGACCTGTAGTGGGCACCTATAACATTGTCACCTGTGTTGGTCTGCCTGGTCATCCTGACCCATAATCTCTCAGCTGGCTCATCATCCATCCCAAGGCAGAGCTCATGCATTCCCTCTGCTCTCTCACATAAAGGGTATCTCCCTGTCACTGCCTCCCCAGCTTGTTCTTCCTAAAGAGCCTGTATTTATTCATGGCAGCAACCTCGTCATGTGAGCCATCCTACCATGTCTTCATGATCCCAAGGAGACTGTGGCCTTGTAACTGCACACAGGGCTCTATTTCTTCCTGTGTTCTCCATGCTGCATGCATTAGTGCACAGGCACTTCACATGTGCATCCAGTCTTGCTGATTTCCAAGAATGAAAGCTTTCCCTGTAGTATTCTTCTGTAGGCCTTTCCTTATTTATGCGCATATGCTTGGGGTGACCCCACTTCAGCCCTGTTTTGTTGACTGTGAGGTATCTCTTGTTCACATTGTCCTGCACCCTTTGCTTGCCCACAGAGTCTACTGCTTTGTCACTTGATATTTGGTTGTATTTTCCCTCCTCTATTGTTCCTTGTTTACAACTGTTCTTACCAGGTTGGTCAGCCTGTTGGTGAAGATGCTTCTGCCCACCATAGTCAGCTGGATCCCATCTCTTCCAAGCAGTCCTTGATTCTCAAAGAGGGTTCTATGGTCATAGATACTAAAACCGTGCTGACAACACCAGTCCACAGCTGGTTGTTGACCTGCAGGATCTGTCTGCTCCTCAAGCCCTTGCTGCTAACTGGTGTGGCTGGGGAGAACGCCACTTGGGCCTTGACCATAGCTTCCAGAGCCACATAATCACACTTGGTACTTTCCAGGTCTCCCTAGTTGTATAGCTGATGCCCAGGTGGAAGAGCAGAAGGAGTAATAGTCTGAGGGCTGGACAAGCTTTGGCAGTCTTTCAACAGTGCCATGAATTCAAATCCCTAGCAAGCAGCAACCCTTCTTAGGTGACGAGTCAGTCAGAAGATGAGGGTCCTCCATCCCTTGCTAATGCTTGCCACTTCCCTCTTGTGCTGCTGTGTGGCTCAGGTTTACTGAACACAGGTGATTCATTTGACAGAGCTTCTAGAAGATGTCTCCAACTGATTTTTGAAGTAGATACCAAGGGTTGCAGAATAGCCAAACATTGTCTGTTTCCCTGGACATGAGAGATGAGAACATAGACCAAATACAGGGATCAGTGTTTGTCTAGTTGAGTAGAAAACTGATCAGGAGCATGTTGACAAAACCATTTTGAGTATTCTTTCCTGAAAACAAAAACAAATGCGACACTAGCAGTGAAATCCTCCTTTTGCTCCTTCAAACAGATACCACAGGAAGAATACTTAGGAATCAGAATGTTCAATGATACGAAGCAAGTCTAGAGCATGCTTTTCTAGTCTACGCTTCTTTTTATATTAGCATCATTGGCTCTGTCTGTCCCAAGAAAGATAACTATGTAGAAGAAAATTTTTGCAGGTGTAGAAATGTGTAAGAGCAAGACAGCTGGGTGCTTGAGGTTATTTGGAGAAGTCATGCAGTGACGTTAAATAGCAAAGAGCAAGCACAACCTGAAAGCACCAAGTCACTGCAAACAGATGTCATTTGCAGAGAAAACTTGAACAGTTGTGGCTTTGACGTGAACACCTCTCCACAGGTTAATCTTCAAAGGACAAATTTATTGTCTTAGCTGGAGACACAAAGCTTAAACACTGTTACTCATATGCCATTGAGAAGGGTAAACTGGTATTTTTGTAATGCATGTTGCTTGAAATTTGGGTATTTTTCAGTGCAGCTGCCTCACGTTTAGGGTTCTTTTCAATGTGTATTCTTTGAGGCTAATAGTCCTAATAGGTTAATTACATAAAGGTGGGAGGGGAGAATTCTGACAACTTTTGGACTTCTACTGTAGTAAATTAATGTTTAAAAAATAGCTGAAAAAGCAGATTAATATATCCAGTGAGAATTAAAAAAAAAGGAAAAAGAAAAAAAGAGAGTTCACTATGAATGAAGAAAATGCAGTCAGTGAAGAACTCGAAGTGAGGTAGAGCATTGATGAAAATTGAAAGATGTTGGGGTGATCCAGTGATCTTGATATATTTCCATGGGAGAGTAAGGATAGTATGTCTTCTTGAAAACTTTAAAGTTTAAAAGTCTGAACTCTCTATTCTTTCTATTTTTTTGACTTCTACCTTCATAGGAAGAGTCCATTGGTACTTATGAGAGCAGGAGATAGTGGAAACAAGATGAAATTAAGACAGTGGTTTATGATGAGGAACAGTTTCAAAAAGATCCCTAGTTGAGGGAGTTAGTTGCTTTAGATATACAGAAAATTTGCACAACATGGAACTGTAGGATTTGTCAGTAGAAGAAAAAAAGGAAGAATATTGCTTATACATCAGCTGATAAGACATCTGTGCCTTGTGTGAAGTGTTCAGAAGGGGCCAGCAGCTCCTTCCATTGTTGTTCAATTTTTTGTACATTCTTCTCAATATTTTTTGCACTCAAGGTAGCAGCCCATTTGTAAGTAAGGGCCATTCATCAGAAGTAACAACTCATGTAGCAGAATTTTCTGTAATAAAACTGCTGAAGAAGTTTTGAGAAGAAAAGGGTACAGAGGGAATTACTGACACCTTCAGAAGCTTTTCACTGATGTAGTGTGTGATGTAAAATGGCAGAAATGTGTGCTATGTAACCAAGCATGAGCATTTTGCTTACGGATTCAGTTGTTAATAAACAGGTGTTGGTAAATCCCTGAAGGACATTTTCTTTCTTTTTATCCTAAAACCTTTATCTTTGAATTTCAGGTTAAGGTACCATTGAATGGAATTCTCCAGTACTGACTATATTACATCAGAGGAAGAAATTCAGCCTGTGCTTTAGCTTATCTTTTTTTGTGTTATTCTGTAAAAGTCACTGTTCATTTGTGTTCAGATGTGAAGGTTACTGGTCCCTCTGACTAGAAGTAGTATGAAATACAGTGAGACAAGGTGCCTGTATACAATCAGTGTTGATGATTATTTTACAGTGCTGCACTCCAGGAGTAAAGACTGGAAGTAAAAGAAAATGTTTGAACTGTCTATGAGTAGACTATCTGCCTAAAATCATGTAGCTTATGCTGTTTAGAGCAGATAGGAGTGCCATAGCTTGCTTCTGAATTGCATCCTCTTTTTCTTCATGGTTTTTTGTAACCTTTATTGATGTTGCTCATGTTTTCAATGTCCATTTGTATCCCTAGAACAGCATAATTCCCTCTTTTATACTACAGTTTTAAATTTTTCTTTCATCCAACGCTGGAGCCTGTTTAGTACCAGGTGCCCCTCTTGTTTTAATTCTTTCTTAGTCTGTCATACTGGTCTTGGTAAATGTAAGAGATGTATGTTTCATTTGTTATCTGTGCATTGTGCCCCACTTAATGAATTATTTATTTGTTATATTATACATTGCAGCGTGCTGTGTATATTTTGACACATGCAGAACACAAAAGCCATGCTTTTGTATATCGCTAGGGGAGGGAAATTTTTGTAAACAGACGTTTCTTAAAGCAGCTTACTGTATCACTGTTAAAATGAGTAATAATCATGAGTTAACATGCTCTGTGGGTTGGTTTTCTTCAGAAGAATATTTCTATCTCTTGGCATCTATGATGTGGAGAGATGATTGCTTAAATAAAGGAAAATTTGCATACAAAATAAGATGGAGATGGTATAAATGAGCAGTGCTGAAAACAACATCACATGAAGTGATACAGCATTTACAACAGCATAAGTATTTTGTGCTCTGAACAAAAGTCCTAGTTACCTGCAGTACTCCTCAGATACTAGGCAGCAATCGACTGATACACAAATACCTTTATAAACCTGAAAAGTTATCCAGTGCAAGAGATTGTCCAAGTTTGGATCTAGGCTCAGGAACTTAGTGAATTCAAAATGCTTGGTTCAAACAAGTCATCTTATGGTAATGATGATGCTCCAGTGAGTTTTCTGCTGCCGTTATTTAGTGCAGTACCTCTTCAAAATGAGCTGGTGGGTTTTGTAGTCACAGCCTCTCAGTTCTCAACCACACATTTTCATATTTGCTTAGGTGATGCTTTTTCAAACACTGTAAGAAATGACAGCATCTTTCTTACTGACATGGACTAAGGGAGTTGAAGAACTCTCAATATGATTGAATCATGATTCCCAAAGATTCAGCAGAGGAGATTTGTTTATGGCAAGGGCTGTGAATGACCTAATGTCTGGAAGCCCCTTTTGAAAAGTATTTGTAGAAATTCTGATGGAAAATTTTTTATTTCAGATTTGATTTCCATTAGTTTGATACAGGGGGAAAGCATTGCTGTTGGTGTTAATTCTGAACCTTAATTGGACTTTCAAGGACAGCAATGAAATTATAATGGCACACTAGGCGTGATTCTGAGGTGATTTATGCATGAGGAAAGGATGATCATTCTAGGTTTGCTTGGTGTTGATACCCAACCTGTTGCTTTTCTGCTTGTTGTATTCCTGGCAAAGTGTTTTTTGTAATATGCTACTAACTATTCTGTAATTTGCATGGAGGTGATGTAAAGAGAATTGTTGGTACTATTCTGACCACTGTTACATGTTGATGATTTAGAGTAGATTGCTTATCAGCTGCTGGACCCTTGGATACTTCCATGAGGTTTCTGTACTTAAAAAGAAAAAACAAATGGGATCTGTGCGAGAGGACTACCACACTGAGTTTAGATTTAATTCTCAGGGACCTTCCTTATGTATGTCTGATACATATAAAGGTGTAGGTAGCCCAAGACTTCCATCAAGACAGTGAAGGCCAGTTGCTGGTCCATGTGTTACTTTTATTGCAGTAGTAGCTGAGAAGAGCTGCTTAGTTGCTATTGAAGTACAGGCTTCCATAGTGGAATGAGTTGGAGCTGACCGTGAAGTCCTGTTGCTCTTCCTCATCTGATGCCCTTACTGTTGAAAATGAGATGTGTAATGTTAGCCATCCAGTCAGTCCAAATATAATTCTGCTTGTGGGCCGTTGTTTATGCTTACCAATGTTGCTTCTTAGAGTCGTTGTTTACAATGAAAATAGTAAGTGAAGAATTGGTATATTCATGGCACTGCAGCCTTGAAGCAGCTGAAGATGTTAATGGCCAAGTGCAATCCTTAAAATGATAAGATACAGTCCTTGAAGTCCTGTTGGTCTTTTTTGCTGGTGAAGCACAGGTAAGTAGGCATACCTGCTTTTTCACTCAGGTACAACACTTTGTAGTTGAGTCTGTTGTAAGCAAGGCTCACTTGGCTGTTGGCAATTCCCAGAAGACCCATCTGAAAGATACTAGGGTGCTTTTTGAACTCCACACCTCAAATGCAATCAACTGGTGCTACATGGGGCTTGAACTTTCATTTTTTTTCATTATTGTCCAGGTGATTTTGTTGTGATTGAGTGGAAGTTAGGCAAATTAAGACTTTTTTGCAAGGAGAGCCATTGGTTTCATGTAAAAGCTGAATGTGAGCCGTTTTCATCTCTAGTAGATCTTGTATGTATTCGAATCAATTTCATTGTTAGGTTTACATGTCTTCTGAGGGCAGAGAGGCCATTTGAAAGCTATTTGAAAACATCCATTTCAAAACCAGATGAAACTCTGGATAAGACATTGCTTTTTCTGTTTCATAGTTAAGATTCTCTCATCTGTGCTAGAACTGCACTGTTTGTGAATGGGAGTAATTTGGAGTCATCAACTTAACTAGTAATTAAAGCTGTTCTTCCAGCTATATGTTTGCGGATGCCATGTCAGAGGAAAAGAAATATGCCATAATCTTCACCAGAGTCTGTAAAAATAGCAATTGAAATGTGTCAGTACAGAAACATTGCTATTTGTGATCTCTCTCCGTTGCTGTGTATTGTATCACGGGCTGCTTGCAGACCTTGATGCATTGTGGAGAAGGCATTGTGGGGAAGATGGAGTACAGGAGATACTGTGCATCAGGTAAAAAGTGTGGCTACAAAGTCTGTGCCCTAATATAAGTACTGATGTACTTGCTGTTTTACAGAATATATGATGTCATTTGAATCTCCAGGCAGATTCATAGTTTTCTTGAGCTTTTGCCAAAAGATCTCATGTCATCTTGCCCTTAAAAAAAGGGCTCAGTCCAGAACCCTTCTATCTGTAGAGGATACAGCAGTAAATCTAATAGTACGCAGTGGCAAACGCAGCAGTATAAGTCCAGAAATTGGAATACTTCATATGAAACTCTAAGCTGGCCTACCTCTTAAGAGCCTTACGCTTACAAAAAAAGAAAGGTGGGTTCCCCCCTCCCCCCCGACTCTATTTACTTTGTGTTGAATGAAATATGAGCCTTTCCTTATATTATGTTGACCTACTCCTTTAAAACCAGTTATTTGTAGTGCATTCTCTCTCCTTAGTTCTGATCATAGCATTTTCAAAATTCTGTATAAGGAAAATTTGACTGAAGTGAACAGTAGAAAATGTTAGCCTTTTCGATGATCTTGGAACTTGGGGGCAAGAGAGTCTTGGGAGCTGTCTTGAAGAAGCAACTTATGGAAGGTGCTTGTGAGAAAAGGAAGAGAGGAAAGATGTTTATAGAAATAGAAGCATACTCTACAAGCAGTAGGTGTTCTTCTGTTATTTATCTTGATTGCCTCGTCAAAAGTGCAGGAGATAGAAAAACTTCTAAGGAAAGGTGTTCACAAAAAGATCTGTCTAGGGTTATAATGAAAAAAGATTTGCAAAAACTGATAGTGTTTGGTGGATGAAATAATAGTAAAGTGTGTTCTCAGTAGTAAATACTTCAGTGATACTTCTTAACTCTTCTCACTGTAGAAAGACAACATATGCTTCCCATTTAGAAGTTGAATAGTTGTAAGCAGTGTATAGCAGTAGGTATCCATAATATGTGGAAAAATGATAATCTTTGTAACACTTTCAAGTAATGCAAGCAAATACTGCTCCAGCACCAGCTGATAAATTAGAGGAAGAAGAACTTGCAGAGGGAAAAACTGGCAAAATGCATTCCAACGCGTTAGCTACTCATGGTACAAAAATAAAGCTGTGCTGTCAAAAGGGTGCAAGGCCTTAGAAAAATGAGTAGTAACAGGATTCTGAACTACTATATACAGGCCATGTGTTGGATTCAGAGGTAGTGATTTCAGTAACCTCAGCCTCAGATAGGGGCTTGATCACTAAAGTATCCTTGTAGTTTCTGTAACCTGTTTTTAATGAATACTTTACATTTTTGTGTGTTTCAGAGATCCAGCGTACTTTGATGAAAACTGGCTGAACAGGATCAAAACAGAAGTAGGAGATAATTGGAGGCTAAAGGTATTTGACTTGGCTTGTCTGTGAATCTGTATTTCAGTTCTTAATATAATATTGTATCTAAATATGAACATATTTCTAGATTAAGACCTTGCTTTATAGTACAGCATTTTGGATTTTAGACCATTTTAATTACACTTATTTGTTTTTTATGTTGTTAGTCCTGCACAGTTTAGCAAAGAGAAGACATTTTTAGTTTGTAAATAGGTTTCAATAATTTAAAAAGAAAATATTAAAATAAACTTTGTGCTTCACTTATCTCCTTTGTTTTTCAAATGTTGAACGAAATATTTTTTTAAATGCAAAGTGTGAAAGTAGTATTAAAAAAAAGAGCTCTGAGAAGCAACTGGATAAAAATAGCAGAATAATAAGCAATTTATTTAAATAAAAATGGTAAAGTGTTGTTTCCTTTTACTTTGTCAGCTCTGCACAACTACTGAGCTTTAGGAGAGGAAGTCATGTTTTTTCTGTGGTGTTTGTACTCAGCATGTTTTTTAACCACGGCCTATTTGCTGGGTCATTTGTATCACTTGGTATTCTAGTACTTTCACTGCAAACCTTAAGGCAATAGAATTTACAATGTTATGGCTGAGGAGCATTTTGGTTTATAAAATGTGAAGAACATAGTTTCACATGCAGATGTTAGTGTGGTTTCTGACCCGTTTTGTTCAGAGAATGATATATGTACCTTTCTAAATTGCTATTTCCAGCCTGACTACTTAGGGAAACAAAATAGTGGTGGTTTGTCTGGTAGTTCATGTTTCCTATAAAACCATTTTGTTCCAGCCACCAAAAACTTTACTGAGCATCAGGGGAAGGGCCACAACTGTGAAATGCTCTAGTACTTAGAGGATCCTCAACATCACTGACTGAATAGAAGGGACACAGATTAAGTGCCCTCTGAGACAAGGGTGGAGCATACTGCTGCTGTATATGTTTTGACTTGGCCAGCAGACCTGTCAGTGAGGTCTCTGCTGCCTGGCCGGTTATGTGCAAGTCTGGGCTGCTGTATAATGTTTTGTCTACCAGGGCTGCCAGCAAAAATGTGGGTACATTGACGAGGATATATTGACTGGCTGGGGAATAAAAGATGTGATCCCTAAAAAAGCTTTGTTAGTTCTGCTGCTTGTAGAGCAGTTAATTTAAATGACCTTTTCAAAGAAGCATATGGAATTTCAAGGGACAGCTGGATACAAGGGTTTATTTTTCTCTAAAATATTTCTGTGGCTTTTTTCTAAGGAATATTGAAGCCTTGGCTGTTAAATTTGGAGAACAGCAAATTGAGAACTTTGTTATAATAGAAATTCAGCTGACTGAAAGTGGAGTAGCAGCTTCTGTAACTCTCATGGAGCTTGGGGAATAAATTTTTTTGTCTCCTACCAATTTGGCAGATACCAAGGCTTAGCAGGTGTCAATTAAAAAAACAAAACAAAACAAAAAAACAACTGAGCAATCTAGTAACTTCCTCATGTGATTGAGGTTGGAAAAACATCAGGTCAAACTTCGGTTCTTGCTGCTGTCATTCCTTCTTGTTTTTCATAAAGCCATGTAAATAAGAACTAAAGACTGATTTTTTTTTTGTTGTTGTTGAAAAGAGATGTATGCTCCAGCTTTTTCTATATATTTTTATATACCACTTCCCTTTTAATGAAGAATACTAAAAGGCACAAATGTGATATTTTAACTTTTAATTTGTAACCAGGAAGATAATCCTATACTTTGCCAACTGTTCTTCTTCTTTATATGTGAGTAAACACTATTAGTAATCTAGTTGTTCAAATGTCTATCAGTCAAGCCATCGTTTATAGCCTGACTTGTAGGAACACTTGCAATCTGTGCACTTCTATTCGTATGTCACCAGATTTACAATGTAGGCAACATATTTCTGTGTGACTCAGTGATACAGATTTCCCTTCGTATTTTAAGAAGCACCATGAAAAATGATAATCGGGTTACCGTACTACCTCAGAAGTCATGATAATGAGCTGAATTATATCCCTGTTGGTAAACGTGATTGCTCTTTGCCTCTGATATCACATGGTATAATAGTCACCACTTGTACAAGCTCTCAGTAATATGAACCACAGAAAGAAGCCAGTCTAGTAGGGAAAATAAGTTAAAAAACCAAACCAAAATGTAATGCGCAAGTAGTTCTACTTTGTGGAACAGTGGTTAGGAGGGCCTGATAGAGGTTAGTGTAGGCCTGATACAGCTCTTCTAACCACTGTTGAAAGAGATACTCAGAAAACCATGCAATTGTTAACTTTGAATTGGATGCTGTCCTGTATGAGGAATAAATAAGAATGTTTGGCTCAGCTTTCATTGTTTTTTTTGTTCAATAATTCACTTTCCCATAACTGCAAGAATGCAGTCTTATTAAAAATATTTTTCCTGTTGCTGTATCAGTTTAAAAGAAATGTATAAATTCACAGAGATGTTATATTCTTGGTTTCGGGGCAGGCCGTCTGACTTAAGAGATTAAGCAATGCACAGGATAGAAAAACGGAAATGCTGCAACTTGGGGGACTTGCAAATTAGGAAGCATTCAGCAAGTATTCTGTGTATTACAGCTGACCAGATCTTTGTTTACTGTGTTTAGTAGAGAAACATGTTATTACTTCTTTGGGGTTAAAATTTCTGGGGCGTAGCATACATCAGTGTACATAGCAGTTTGTGTTTTCTCTTGGGCAACAAAAAAAACCTACTTCTCACTGCTGCCTTAACTGCAATTTTATGTTGTGGTTAAAAAAAAAAAAAAAGACAAAGACATATCTCTTTCCTGATGTACAACTGAACACTTTCATATAGTCAGAGTTTAAACTGTGTACACACTAGTATTTCATGCTGAACAAGACACTTTGAAGATAAAACAGCCTTTATTGAAAATGGGGGAATGGCATAGAAAGTAATTCTGTTGCCAAAATTTTGCAGGAATGAAATTCCCTAATCAAGAAACAAAGTTCAATGTCAAGTCGTACACGAATACCAGTAACAGAACACAAATTTAAACAGTTAATGATTTGGTACACACATGTCAGTTTGGGCAATTATAGAGTAAGTTGTTGACTCTGGGGCATGGGGTAAAACTGACTTCCCCCCCCCCGTTCCATTCCGTGCGGTCATACTTTGCTTGGGAAAGGAAGGAAATACTTTGTTCAGCTTGATTTCTGACTTTTTCTTCTGGACTTTTTGCTTTGGCATTCAGACTATGGCATCAGTTTAAAGTACAATTTTATCGATGTTTATAGTAGCAAGCTGTGTTTGTTCCATTACTGAATAACATGTTCAAACAATAGGAGCCACTAGACTTTCTGCAACTAGTACAGTTTGAATGCCTTGTGTTTGATACAGTATTGCAAAATGGAATCACCAATGAAATTAGAGCACAAACTACTTAGTGCTGTAATCTAAGTAAACAAACCTGATTTATGAGAATTAATTTTGACTCCCTGCAGTAGCACAGTTATGTTTGCTCTGAATTCTACAGTGCAAGCTGTGTTGACTGGTGGAGTAATGGAAGCTAGTTTTCGGTGTACAGTATCAGCTTTCTGCTACTTTCTTGTTCCTTTGCAAGAGAAGGGAGCACTTATTCATGAGCAGCCTTTTAGAGTTTTGTTTTTTTTTTTCTGGTAAGGGTGGAAGCCTGTCATGTGAATGTTTTTCTGCAAGCAAGAAGCGATTATAGGTGTATTGTAAGCCAGCATTCTTTTCTGTCAAAAAGATAATTAGCAAGTGATATATTTAACTCTGTTTCGATATACCCTTAATTCCTAAGTCAACAATGTCTCCAAATATAAGTTTAATGTGGGAATGCTCTCTGTGCTCAGAACCACATTTAATTTTTTTTTCTCTTGTCATTTACCTCAAGGTTCTTTTTGGCATTTCTTTTTTGCAGAAGACAGGTTGGAGGGGGATAACCCCCAAAGCTAGTGGTATAGTCTCGCTGTAGGCTCCATTTGTAATCAGTGAAGAGACAGGCTCTCACAGAACGCAGTTTAGAGCAGAAACCTGACGTATGTGGTGGGAATAATGCATGCACACTCTCTCCCCCTCCCCCTGCCACCTTTTTAAGTGCAGCCAGGAAGAATATGTACCTTAATGAGATATCTGAAGCTGACTGATTAAGAATTCTCTCACTACTTGCAAGTGTGCCCTAGCAACGCTTCCAGAAGTTATAAGGTTCTTAATTACAACCTGTGTGAAGGAAAATAGGTCTGTGCATAATTACCCAGGAAAGATACTGTTGAACAGCATTTCAGAACATTGAGGTTCCATTCAGACACTTCAGGGCCTGAAATGTACAAGCATAAGTCTATTTACAGAGTCTTCAGTGCAAACAGGATTTCAGTCATACATGTGATATAAGGATAAATACAAAATTGGGGACTGGCTGTCATAATGTTAGTGAGAAAACAAGAGGGTAGCTAACCCATGCTCCCTTTTTCTTAGCAATCATAAGCTTAAGGGCGTATCTACTGTCCACTTCATCAGACTTTTGTTTTGTTGTTCAAGTACATTCATAAAGAGAGAAATCTAGACAGGCTACCCTTACAGACCCTCAGTTTGGAACGAGTAAGTAAATTGTAATTAAATAAAAATAGATATTTCATATGACAGGTGAGAAGAAACTCGCAAACATTAAGTCATACAGTGTTCTCAGGTCATGTGATGCCTTCAGTAACCCAGGGCACATCATGTCTGCTTTCATTCCAGTCAGTATGTCAGGTTAATGTTGTGTCATAAGGGCCAGTCTCATACTGAACAATGTGTGCTAACTATGTAGTACTATACTGAAGCCAAGATGGCTGTGAACTGAGAGGGTAATGATCATTTAACATGAAGAACATCCACACAGCTCTGCTGTGAATATTAGTGAAATCTAGGTGTTCAAAGAATGAATGATAACATGCAGGTTGCCTTTGTGGATGCATTAGTTCAAAGCGGATGTCCTCTCCTTGGTAATATGAGACTGGGGAAATAAAACAGGAAATAATGGCTGGAAAAGAGATTGCAAATGAATAGAGATTTGTCTAGAAATACTTGATAATCCATCTATTTTAAGTTGCAACAGCTTTTGAAGTGGAATAAAGCATAGTTGTCACTATTTTTTTTTCCCAGTAAGTTTCATGTCTTTTGCAACAGAGGTATGGGTGCAGGGGATAGATGTGAAAGAGGTTGTGCGGGTAGTGTACGTGCTTTGTATGGAAAAGGAGGAAGTCAGGTTGCTGATGCAAGCAAATAAGCATCCCATGTGACCATGGGCTGATCTCCAAAGGATGATACAGCGCTTTAGTCATGATCGATACTGGAAATTCTCTCTGTTGTGTTCTATCATTGCATGACTTAATGGTCTTTGTTAACTAGTTATAGTTAGATTTTTGCCATGTGCTTAAAAAAAGAGGAAAAAAAAATCTGAACAACCATCACCTGCTGTGATTTAGAATTCTGATGTAATGGGTTGTCTGTAATGCTTTCTTGTGCTGTTGTTCATTTTCATTCATCTCTGTTTGAAGTCTTCCTTTTAAGAATTTATGCTATGACCTGACAAATGTTACTGGAGCTACTGAGTTGAAACTCAAAATAGAAAACATTTGTGGTAGTTTCCCCATGATGATTCTCTGCCAGTGACAGTAGAACTATCTAAGTGTATTCACTGCAGACAAGTTAAAAAAAAAAAAAAAAATTGAGAGCCCTCTGAGTAATACTGAAGATCATTGTTAAGTTTAATCCAGTCTATAAAGAAGCTGCTTTAGCCTTATAATTGTCTGATTGTGTGCCAGATACAAAGATGATATAGTTAACTCTTGAAAGCAAGTTATCCTAGTACTGCTGATTGACAGTGGAATAAAATAGCACCTCAAAGATGAGATTTTTTTTTTCAGGTTGTTTGCTATTTTCTTTTTCCAAGGATGCTGCCCTATATGTTAGTTTTGATGACAGATTTTGATCAATATTGATTTTGTTCCAGCATCTCAACTCTAAGGTCTAGGAAAGTTATATGGAGGAAGATGACTCTTTGTGTTTAAGGGATTTTAATTCAAACAATGTTTAAAAGGAAAGTGGAAAAGAAGTACTTTGTAGGCAGGTACTTTCAATTTTGTTTCTCATTTTTTGGGATTATGTTCAAGTTCAAGGTTCCTCACAATGTTCTCATCGGTAAACTGGACTTAAATTCTGCAACATGGCCTTTGCGTTTCTGTGACACTTTCTGCAGCAGACTCAGGTAAATTACAAGCTGGAAGACTTTAATGAATCAAGGTTGAAAATTATATTCTAATCGGTGCAGTATTCTTTTTGGTGATTTGACATCAGAATAAAATTATTTACATTTCTTTAAATTCTTAAATCTGTTGCAGGCTTTGGTTATGATTTTGCATAGCCTTGGAGAGGTGGTGGGGATTGCTTTTGGGCAGACAGCTAGAAGATAGTTGTATTTCTTACAGAAACATGATGTGTTAAGTGTAATATTACAGAAATAGTATGTGTTTGGGAGTAGAAGATGTAAACCTGAAAGTAAACTAATTATTATGCTGTTATGGAAGGGACAGTAAATTTTGTTATATGCTTGCTATCATATAGCATCTCCAGTTCTCATTCTAGGTTGTCAGAGTATTTCATGTGTCACTTTTCAAGTCCAAGTGAATTTTTGTTTCTTGTATGACTTAAAGTTCAGTGATTATGAAGACAATCAGGATGTTCTTATATCTTAGTAAGTGGGTAGCTTTTGCCATTTGTTTCCCAAACGGAGTGGATTAATAAAAATAAGGTAATCAGATCATTATCACGTCAGATTTCCTGGCTAAATCTTTTAGTGTGTGTGTAGCCTGTTGCTTTCTTGAGTTTCTCTTAGAAAAGAGACTGAATTTTGCTTTCATCACCTCAGTTTTGTCTGTGACTGGGTTGAAGTGTTGAGTTTGTCCCTGGATTTCAGTATCATGTTTCCTAACTGTTTTCTGTAGCGTTTCCTCAGATCTTCTATCTCAGATAGATGACTTCTGCCAGTGGACCGAATCTCCTAGATGGATATTTTTGGAATGTAATCAAGAATATAGAAGTTATTGTGGACTTTAAAGACAGTGGGATTTGAGAGTTTTCGCTCTCCCTTCATTATAGTTCCACAGTTTGCTGCTGTGGCTACTGTTGTCAGCAACAGCACTTTGTGAATCCTAATTTAGTCAGGTTCAGTCTTTGCAGAATCTGTGTATAGACTTCATAGAACTACAGGATCATTTAACTTGGAAAAGACCCTTAAGATCATCAAGTCCAACTGTAAGCTTACCACTATCAAGTCTGCCACTAAACCATGTCCCTAAGTGTCATGTCTACATGACTTTTAAATACCTCCAGGGATGGTGACTCAAACCCTTCCCTGGGCAGCCTGTTCCAGTGCTTAACCCTTTCGGTGAAGAAATTTTTCCTAATATCCAGGCTAAACCTCCCCTGGTGCAACTTGAGGCCATTTCCTCTTGTCCTATCGCTTGTTACTTGGGACAAGAGACCGACCCCCACCTCGCTACAGCCTCCCTCCAGGTAGTTGTAGAGAGCGATAAGGTTTTCCCTCAGCCTCCTTTTCTCCAGAATAAACAACCCCCGTTCTCTCAGCTGCTCCTCTTGTCACAGGAGAGAGTGCACTGCTACTACTATCTGAATTACTTGCTTGAATACTTGGACGTTAATTGGTGGGAATCTGTAGCAGTTACTTTCAGCAAAGATTTCTTTTTTTCTAAATATCACCTATGAGATCCATTGGGCATTTTTATAATTTTTAAATGCACTCTTTATCTCAGAAACTTGATGTAAAGTTTTTTTTCTGGAAAGGAGCTCTACTCAGTACTAGAGAAGTGTGGCATAGATTCTATACAGCAGGAGAAACTCAACTGGTGCCATTGGTTATGGAAGTGAACAGAAGCTATCTTTGTATGGCAGTGAAGGCATCACAGAGAAATGTGAATTTTGCCTTGATACTGTAAGACGGACATTCAGTTGTAAAGAACTGAAGGGTGGTGGTGGACACGAACAAAAATGAAAGAACTAAGAGGAATAATTAATGATAAAGTTACTAAATTAAGCTTACAGAGGTTGGGAATAAAGGAGGACATTGAGCAGTAGCTGGTCTTGGTTTGAAAGAAGAGGTTTATCTCTGCAGAAAGTAGATCACTAGGATGCTTTAAGAGAAGAAAGGAGGAAAAGAATACTTCAACTTCTGGATACAAAAATAATCCCAAGATAAACAATCCAAAAAAGATTCATGCTTTAGAGTCTGATCTAAAACCTATCCAAGACAGTGTGATGTTTGTCATAATTTAAATGGGTTCTGTCAATTAATAAAGATTTGTGATCAGGTCTGGAAGTCTGATCCTAAGGGACTACTGCATAACTTCCATGATTCTAAATTAAACTGCTCAAACAGAAAGTCTTATTGTGCAAATAGATGCAACTGTATGATTCTTCTGTGTGATTCTTCTGTGATTGCCTACTTTATGATCATTTCTCTGTAATTTATTCCCTGCATTTATTTTATTTCCTCCTTCTTCTTGTCACATAGGTGAGCAACCTGAAGAAAATTTTAAAAGGAATATTGGATTACAACCATGAGGTAAGAATCTACATCTACATTCATTTTTGTTACATATTTTAGTTAATCTATTTAATGTAAATTATATTCTATTGATTAAGTTCTGACTTTTTCTTGCAAAGTATTTGGCATACAGAGTGTTTCATGGCCTATTCTCAGGCGTTAGCCTTCTCTAAAACTTCTCACCTGCTTTATTGAATACTCAGAGCTTCCAGAGGAGTCTGATGTGCAAATTCTGTTATACAAACAGTAGATGTCTTTGCTGACTGTGTTCTGATGGTGGACTTTTAATAGTACCTGTGTCTGATTTCCTCTCCCCCCCACCCCCTGCCCCTCTCCAGCTAAAGACTGCCTCTTTCCTTTTCTCTTGAAGAGATGGAGTAAAGAGCGTTTTTAGTCTCTCCCCACATTAAAATTTTCAATGGAATGTTTTAATCCTAGATATTGGAGTCTGCCCTTGGCATTCTCACTTAGACTATTGAGCAAACTCAGAAATGAACCACTCCAGAGGAGATACAATACAGTATTTTTTTCAGCAGTGAATCTTCAGCTGAAACATGCTTTTACTTTCAGTGATCTTTTGAGGCAAATTGATCTGTACAGGCTGCAGCACAAAATCCATAATGTGTACGTCCTGGACATTTCTTGTCTCAACATATGAGCTTCCCGTAAATACTTGGGAGAGGAAGACATTTGGTAATAAACTTAAGTCTTTAAAAGTGAGCAGATTTGCAGAAAGAAAAAGTTAGACTCATAAGCTTATATTCAGTAAACGGTCAGGTATCCATGTTGAAATAAATTTTGAAAATTGATGGTGAAGCAAGCTGGTCATAACTGACAATTCTAGAAAGAAGAAAATAAGTTTTTTGTTATTGAAAATGAATATTACTTTGACAAAGTGATGCCAGCTTCTTTTCAGCTAGGTGGTATGTATGATTATTAAATTTCTGGTGTGAAAACTTTAGTACTAAGCAAGTTTTGAGCTGTTTCAAGCTGTTTAAGTTCTGCAAAGGTAATGCGCATTTATAAGTTTGACTTGATTTTGATTTGGTTTCTTTTTTTTCTGCTGAGGCAATGCTTGTGGTGATAATGGAGGTGATCTGGATTCTACTATGAATCCTGGTTATGTTTTCCTCGACCTGATACCCTCTCCTAGCAGCCACCTTCTACAAAAATATGGATGTGAATGTATATGGATTTTACCTGATGTAGCTAAAAGCCTTTGAAAAATGTATATGCTAATTTTGTTCATCTTCAAAAATTAAAAAATTTGTATTGCATTCAGGGGGCCAGTCTTTCAATAGCTATTCTACGTTGCTGTCTTTGTCAATTATAGTATGGAAGAACAAGAAGCCAAAGTTACCTATTTATAGATTGCATGCTTTGTTATACCTTGTAATCTTGCTGCAGAACTCTGCTGCTCTGGAATTGAAACTTTCTTTTTTTTTTTTTTTTTTTAAGGTCTTTTATGTATTAAAAAAGGGGAAAAATGCTCTTTTTCATCTCAGTTTATTTATTGCAGAGTCTGTCCTTCATTTTTATATTTCTTTGAATTTATTTTTTTGTTGAATTAAAATTGTATCTCGTGTTTATTTAAAAATCCTCTATTTACACTTTTGCATCCTTGGCTTTTTCATAGTGCCTCCCTTTTCCCTTCAGCTTTCTTCAACAGCAATTATATTATCAGTAACTATGGAGCTGTTGTAGTATTATTAACTTAAATCTGGTATTGCATTTGAAAGAAATTGAGGAACTACAGATCAATATATAAACACATATCAGATTTGTATAATTCAAAGAATATTGTGTTTTACTGTATTATGGCAGTCTATATACAATGGTAATATTTTCCATTGTGCTTGATGCATTCACAGAATTCTTATTTTCTCACTAGAATGACCAAAGGAAGTCTTTTCCAACAGGAATAAATCTGTGTCCTTTAAAGTATACAGACACTTTTAGTAGTGTTGGTACTTATTCTTTGAGAAAGCTGTTTAAAAAAATAATAATGCCACAATACAAAAAACACCATACAAAACAAGAACAAACTCAACCACAGTAATCCCACAAAGCCCAACCCTGAAAAACTTTTGAATGGCTTGATTTCCATGTATTCTTCATAAACATCTGTTAAATGTTTTTTATAAATACCTTTACCTGATTTTCTGTGTTTTTTGAGTATTAACATGAAAAAGGGCATCCGGCAAATAAGTGACTGATTCCCGCCATAGTCATTGTTTCTTTATCGCACCCTGCTTAAGAAGTGACAGTTTCTTTTTATCTGCAATTAATGTGTCAGAGATGTGTTTAATTCCATATTTCATATTCATATTCTCAGCCCCCTGAAAGCTCTTTATGAACAATTTAGCAGAATTGTTTAATTCTTTCTACTGACAATCATTAATGTAAATCCTTCTTAATTAGGCTGTTTAATTATGTATTGTACTATTACCTCAAATTCTCTTCCATAGAACTAGCTTTCTTAGCTCTGAGACTTGCTAAATATCCTTAAATTTTCTAAAAGTGTGAGGCCAAGTGATTGAATTTTTTACTGTCTTATATTTGTCATCCGTCAGTGCTAGACACATGTATTGCATAAGTGAAATATTTCAATTTCTGACTTTCTAGTGGTAAGAAATGTGAGATTTGTATGTAATATTTTATGCTACATAAGGCATTTTTAGGAGTAAGATTTTTTTAATGGAATGCTGAAAATTTTTTTTTCATTATCTATGTGCTGTTGATCACCGTGGAAGCCTGCCTTTGTTACCTTTCTTATCTGCAGAAAAAGATCTTGCTAAGTCTGAAACCAATAGTTTCTTATTAGTTGAGACAGTCAGGTTTGTCTTCTCCTAAATATTAGTTGTGTCAAGCAGTATGATTTAATATTTAGATGTTAGGTGTTAGGTAATTTAGTTTGTTTTAAAGGTGGATTGAAAACTATGTTAAAATACAAGTTGTTCTTGTTGATCCTGAATCATCTTTGTATTTTGAAATACGTGTGTATGTGTAGCGATACACACATGTATGTGCTGGGTCTTTATGCAGATTCTGGGGCAACAGATTAATGACTTCACCCTTCCTGATGTCAACCTGATTGGAGAGCATGCTGATGCTGCGGAGCTTGGGAGAATGCTTCAGCTTATTTTGGGATGTGCTGTGAATTGTGAACAGAAGCAAGGTATTACATTTTGAAAGCATGTTTTCTCCCAGGCAATGAATGAGAATCCAGCTTGTTGTGTAAATACTTTGGGGAAAAATTGTATTTCTCAGGTTGCTGTCAAATACAAATGAATTTTTTTTCAGTGCTGACATTATTTTGTCCTACAGATAATAACAGTTGTTTTGTTATAAACTTCAGTAGTTCTGGAGTCTCAAACTGTGGAACTGGTTTTGCTTCCAACATACTTATTTTCAATTTTTGTTTGCTGAGCTGAAAAGGCGCTCTATAAAGGAAAATTCTTGGGCCCACCCTTTAACCATTTATCAGGTAGATCGGGATAGTTAAGAATCAACAAATGTGGTTGCACTATTCTGTATGACTCTGGCTTTTAGGAATGCATTCCAGTCAGCATCTTATTACATGGCCAAGAGCCAACAGTATGACTGGGGGCTGGTCCGAAGATATGTCTGGTGTAATTTGGGATACTGTAGTTTCTGAGAATTTTGCATGGGGTTGGGAAATAGGAAAAAGTAATGTTGGCAACCATGCCCTTCTGGGCAGTAGCTAAAGACTGAGCGTGATACCTTAAGGGCGCCCAAAATGTCACTTGAGGCATCTGTTAGGCAATTGAATCCCAGTTCAGCAGTCACTGGAAGAGACTTCTGCCTCTCATGACTCCCATGGCACCAGCTGTCTATCTGACCTGCACAGGTAAAATAGGGACCCATTCATTTTTCCTGCAGGTGCCACAGAGGATGTGATGAACAATGCAGATGCTTGTTGAAGTGTCCCAAATCTCATGCTCTAAACCTGCCTTGGGTGCAGGGTGTCTTACTGGTAGTCAATTATCTTAAAGTATACTTAATTCCAGCCAGGTTAAGGTAACAAAGCAACTACTTAACACTTAAAACAGGAAGCATAGGAATACGTGTATAAAATACATGTGGGTAAGTAAAACAATGTTTACTGTATTTACATGAAAGTCACATCAAATATCTGTGTCTTCCTAATTTAACTCATTTTGGTTTCCTTTCTGACAAAATGGCAGCCAGGTTTTCAGACCTTTTGTTTTTCTCTTGCATGATGCATCTTAGCTTTTATAGCTAACTTCCCCTTTTCAGTTTTCTCAGGTGTCTAAATTACTTTAATTTCTCATTCAGAGATTACTTTTATTCATCCCTTAATCAAGAGAAAGTCTGGCTATCCTGTTAATTAAAAGAGAGGTAATTTTCTTCCATGAGTACATAAATAATTCTGTTTTATTAGGCCTCCTGTCCTCTCTGTTTTATGTAAAATTATCTTCCTTCCTTTTGGTGACCATTTGTCATCCTCAAGTGGGAAGTGTATCTTATTCCTTTGTTTCTCTTACTCTTTCAGTCTGGACATTAAAAACGTACATATTTGAAATATCGGAACAGTCTAGTTTTTTATACTTTGAGTGAGACTTGACATGACCTAATTAATCACTTTGAGGTGACTGATTCCAAGCGTCTTCCTCTTGGGCAAATCATTAAAAGAATACAGGTCACATGTAAAGTTCATCATATCTGACTGGAAACCATATGATACTGGGCAAGTCATAAACTCCTTGACTTGGTCTAAATGCCAGAATTTGTCCTCCTAACCACTGTATCATCTTAGAAGGTACCTGTTGTGCAGGTCACATCTACACATAGGTGAGGAATGAAAAAGTGGAGGTGACTTACTAGTGAAACAGCACAGAAATAAGAACAGAGAGCAAGAACAGATATGAAAATGCCTTGAAATGAGGATGCTGTAGGAAGGTAGGACATTATTGTTAAACTTGTGGAAAAGGACAACCTATGCATGGATCGTGTACTTGTAGTACTGAGTAGTTTGGGAACAAAGTGAGAGAAGGAGTGTAAGTAGTTATTTCAGAGGTGTGAGATACCAGAAGGAAAAAAAATGGATCACATTCATGTACTTTTTTCATTGTTACAGAGTTCCAAGGAGCCTGGAGTTATGTCTAAACATACTTCTCATAAAGTCTTGTTGAGCTTGTTGGGGTGGGACTTGACTGGTGATTGTGCATTTCGATGTCATCTATGGCACCTAGTCATTTTGTAGGAAGGATGCAGCTTCTGACCTCGTGTTCTTTGTGACTTGAGTTTCAACAGTGACTTTTCGGAATGCTCTTATTTTCAGAGTACATCCAGACCATAATGATGATGGAAGAATCAGTTCAACATGTTGTCATGACAGCCATTCAGGAGGTATGCTGGGATGCCCACAGTGTGTAAAAGTTTAGCCTTTCAGTATTTTACAGAAGTATGCTTTTTCCCACTTCGGAAAAACTTAGTTGGAAGTAAAAAAAAAAATAAGGGGCATAGATTTTGCTATTTTACATTGAAAAATATCTTATTTTTCCTTAGAAAAACAAATCAGTAAACTTGCTTTACGTCAAGGAACTCTGATTGAATGTCCCACTTTTCTTTAAATCTAGAAGGTTGAAACTTCTAGATATTTTTGATACTGGGTTCCCTTTCCTTTACCTTTACCTTTCCCACCCTGTGGCTCCTGAAGTACACTGGACTGCTTTTATATGAGTAACCAAATAGAATTTCTTCAAAATTTGTACCTTGAAAATGCAAAACTCCATGGACTGTTAATTTTTTTTTACTAGAACGTGAAAAGAAAGAGAAATGGATAGCATAGTATTCTTTTGTTGGCTGTAGTGTTATGAATAGGCTAATGAAAGTATTTTTGCTAATATGTTTTCACAACTGAGTAAGTATTGCGGTGTATTTTGGAAAAGTGCTGTTCAGTAGTAAATTAAAACCACAGTGAAAATTAAACCACAGTGTTAATGACCACTATAACCATGAAGTCCCCATGTGACTTTTTAGGAGTCTGAAGTGCCCATAAGTGAAGTGCCTATCAGTCTTCATAGATGAAGGTTTACTGCAGGGCAGGCCACTAAGGAAAGCAGGAAATGGCTGGTAATCCTGTTTCTTCTGAACCTGAACAAGAGAAACTAATTTCCACATTTTGCTCTAGAGCAATTTCACTTTTCTGTAATGTCTGGATAGAGAAAGAGATGTCAGTGAGCCTACAGGGACCCCGCCCCCTGTTATCACTTTGACCAATGCTGTATCCATACAGTTGTACATCCTGTTGTCTGTGTGTGGAGTGCTATCTGTAACATTGCAGAGAGGGCTTTTCAAATGAGCATTGAAAGAATCCTTATACTAAATCACCTTCCAGTGAGTGCTGCCAAGCACTAGTTTGCCTGGGTTTTGGAGTTTTTTACTTTTGCATTCTTTTTAACTGTAATACAATGTTTTGGTGGATTTTTGTAATGTCCTCTTTTATTAAACCCAACTTTCAGCATCACTTTATTTTGCACTATCTTAAAATAGAAAACCTTCTCTTATCTTCCCTCCTTCTGTTGAAAATCTCTCTGATTTTTGTGAAAATCGTCATTTGATAAAATAGATCTGAAGCAGCCCGCAGTTTTCGTCATTTCATGAGTAGGCATTGAACTTGTTTAGTGTTTGTGCCCTTTGTCAGACGTGGGGAGTAGAAGTGGGGAGAAATCGCAGGATGAGGGTCTGTTCTTCTGGAACAGATATTTGAAACTCAGTGAATCAAAAAGCTTACTATTCAGGTACTGGTGCAGTTCTTAGTGATTTTAATGCTACCTTCCAAGCTGCTTAGAAAACCAAGGCATTCAGAACTAAATGAGGAGGATCTCAGGCGCTTAACGAAGAGGTCAGAAAGTGTCTCAAAAATTTTGAGACACTTTGAAAGCGGGATCTCCCTCCATTATTTTTCAACAGTCTTGGGAGTCTGGAGAGGTCCCAGTCAACTGGAAGCTGGCAAAGGTTGTCCCAGTTTTCAATAAGGGAAAGAAGGAAGACCCTGGTAATTACAGCCCTGTCTCACTTCCGTGCCTGGCAAAATTACGGAGAAGGTTATTCTGGGAGCTATTGAAAAACACTTGAGAGACAATGCAGTCATTGGTCATAGCCAGCATGGGTTCAGGAGGGCAAGGTCCT